TGGGGTGCTGCAGGGCTGCAATGCAAGCAGAGAGCAGAAGACCAGGAGAGGTCACTTTGCTGGCTACTACTGAAGACACAGACTGACGAATGGTAGGCACGGCGGTGTTGCCACAGTTTGAATGTGTCTCTAAGTTCATGCATTGGAAACCATCCCAGTTCAGCACTGGAAGATGGGACCTAGTAAGAGGTGTGTAGTTGAGTGTCATCACTATGGGGAAGGGATAGCTATTAGGAGTATGAGCTTGTTATAAGACAATTCTCTTTTTTTTCTAATTTATAGTTCCATCTACTACATACACACACATATGCTTCTCTTTATTCCTGAGAATTTCATACATGGGCCCAATGAAATATGATTATATTTATCCCTATTTCCCTTCTCCATCTCCCTCCCCATATCCCTTCTACAAGTCCTCCTCCCAACCTTGTCTTTTTTCCTTTCTTTTTTAAATTGTATAACCCAGTTAGTACATGTGACAGGTGTGGAGCCAATCATCATGGAAAAAACTGCCAGTGGCCACACCCTCAAAAGATGACCCATCCTCCTTTAGCAGATACCAGCTGCTCCGAGGAAAGGGGTGGGGCCTGGGAGAGTACCCCTCCCATCTACGATAGACTTTTGGCTGGTTTGCTCTTGTATAGTTCTTTGGGGATAACCACAGCATCTGTGGGTTCATGAGTGTGCCAGCCATGTCAAATGCAGAAGACAGTGTCCCACGGCACTCCTTATTATCTTCTGATTCTTACATTCTTCCTGGATCCTGTTCCAAATGTTCCCTGGGCCTTGAAGAAGGGGGACTGATAAATGTGCCCTGGCTAGGGTCAGGCGCCCAGGCTGGAGGGAAGGCTCCTCTCTCCGGCTTTTGCCTCACACTTCCCATGACAGGATGAAACAATATAACCCTCTCATCACGTGCACACCCTCTTCTTAGCCTCCAGAGCTAGAAATGAGTTTATGTTCTTCCTAAGCTTCTGAGTTATTCTGCTTATACAGCACAAAACAGGCAAATATCTTCAAAGCTAGATTATAGTATCACAAACTACCACAAACCAACCATAGGGAGACTAGCAGCTAGATAGACACTAAGGGCCCCTGACTCTTCCCTCCTTCACCCGACTCTAGTGTCATTGGCACAGAACATTTGTGGGTCTGCTCCTTGAGGACCAATGAGAAGGAAGTTGGAAAGCCCCTGCTCACTAAGCTAAAAGTGCCATGAGGACACATATTATGTCTTAATGGTCAGTTCTGCCCACACCAACACCCAGGGAGAGCAGGGCTCTGGAGGTGGGATGGGGGAATGCCTGCTTTTCTTCATTACCACCCTCAGCAGCTATAAACTCTGGCCCACACATGATGGTCACCTGAACCTATCAGCTCTTGTCCCGATGGGACCACCCAAGCACCTCCCTGCACAGCTTTGCTGGTACCTGTTAGAAAAAATCATCTGTCCCGCAGGGCATTAATGGTGTACACATTTAATCCCAGCATTCGGGAGGCAGAGGCAGGCAGATCTTTGTGAGTTCAAGGCCAGCCTGGTCTACAGAGCGAGTTCCAGGACAGCCTCCAAAACAATACTGAGAAACCCTGTCTTGAAAAACAAAAACAATAAAAAAAAAAAAAAGAATTCATCTATCCCATAACAAAACAAAGGCTACCTGGCTCTGGGTAACAGTCCACTTCAGAACTGAAGGAGCTGGGGCTGCCCTGCTATGCCCTGTTCCCCATGTCTCTGGCTCCTTTTGGGAGGGTCTACACACCTTGGGGGGGTCACAGCAATTAGTCAGTCTATTGAGAGATAATAGGAATGAAGGACCCAGCTCTCACAATAATCCTGAGCAAACAGAATGGTAGGTACCAATACAGAGCCTCTGCTGGAGAGGGTGAGTGCAGAAAATGGTTTATAGCAGAAATGTGTTCCTCTTAACACATCCAGAGGGAACCACTGTCACCGAGGAGACTGCATTTGTCACCAGAAACACTGGGGCCACATTGTGTCTAAGCAGCTTCCCGCCAGCTGATAAAGACCATATGTCTGTGTGTTTCTCCTCAACAGCTCTCTTTGAGGTCACTGGGCACCAGAAATGGAAACAGAAATGGCAGTTGCTGTAACGAAAGCAGGTGGCAGGTTCTATCCTAGGGGGAAGGGAAGATTTATTTATGTGGCCTAAGAATTATAACACTATGAGCTGCTGGCATTATCACACACACACACACACACACACACACACACACATGTGCACACACACACACACAATTTGAAGCATCCACACTTCTGTTCCATAGCAAGCAAATAAGACCTGTTGAATGCTGAATGAAGGTAGTGACCCTGGGACTGGAGAGACGGCTCATTCTGCAAAGTGATTGCTGTGCAAGTTGCAGACCTGAGTTCCATCCCAAGCACCTGTGTGGAAAGCCAAGCATCAGAGACATATTTATAGCCCCAGTGTAGTGGGAAGACAAGAATATCCCTGGAGCTTGATGCCTGCCAGTCCAGATAAATCAGTAATCTCCAGGTTTAATGAGAGACCCTATCTGAAAAAAATACTCTATACCATAGACTCTATATACCATATTATATATCTAGTATACACACCATATGTGTAGCATGAACGTGTGTGTGTGTGCGCGCGCGCGCGTGTGTGTGTGTGTGTGTGTGTGTGTGTGTACACAAAGGTACATGGGGTCTTTTTTTTTCTTATTTTTTTCAGTGCTGAGACTTGAACTCAGAACCTTTCATGTACTAATCAAGCACTCTGTATTGAGCTATCTCCCTGGTCCTATTTATAGTATATGTGTATATATATATATATATGCAAATATATCTCACTCTCCAGGTGAATAAACAATAGTTAGTATATAGTTAGAAGATATACAGCACATGCTATATGACATGTGGCATCTATCTAGTATATATAAACGTATATGGTATATATATATGTACATAATATGTCAGTTCATACACTGGTTATCTTCAGGCAAAATGTTCTCTTCTAAAATATTGATGCTGTGGGCCAGTGTCCTGATTTACAACTACTTGAGTTCTGGCAGAATTTCCCAGGATTGTGATTAAAAAGCCCTGAAAACCCTCCTATCTGACAGCCCCCTCATGCCAGCTTAACCTTAATTGCCTGCAGTAAGTCCAATTAGAGACAAATCAGATTTCCCCTTCATTTCATCTGATGAAGTATGCTGGCAAAATCTCTGCCATACTGATCAGGGTGAGAAGAAAAATCTGCAAAGAGAGGGGCGGTGAGGGCAGTCCCCAAGAGTGAAGCCCAGCCCTCCACCCTGAGTGCCACGGTTGGTGACCTGGCCGTGAGGCGTGCTCCAGTCTTTGCCTCCTCCTCCCTGCTCTCTCTCCTCTCACACAGCAATTTCCTTCTATTTCTTGTTGCTCTCCTAACATCATTATCTTCATGCAAGAACAGACTTCTGTGCATAGGGTATCCAGTGTTTATGGCTAACTTTGGTGAGGATCAAATCGATCAGGCAGGCCTAGAGAAGTCACCTAATTCTTTGTGCTCTCTTTTCCTCTGCCCCTCCTTTCCCTAATAATGCAACACACACACACACACACACACACACACACACACACACACACACACACACACACACACACACACGGCTGCTCACTGCTCACTCCCGGTAACGCAACATACACACACATGCACACACACACACACACACACACACACACACGCACACACACACACACACCCCGCTGCCCACTCCCGGATGCAGGTGCCAGCACAGAAGGATGTTGGATGTTGACCACAGCCACAGTATGACACCAAAGCACAGATACCACGGCTCGGGCTGAACATGAAGCATGCCCTGCCAAAGCCTTCTCTCCCTGCCTCTCAAGGTCACAGTGAGAGATTATGAAACAGTGGAAAAGCACCGCTCAGAAAATGGGCCATAGGGACTTTCCTCTGGCCAGGAAGGAGAGAACAACTCTCAGCCTGGTGCAGGCCAGCTAAACTCTGTGGAGGAAGCATGGAGTGAGGGATATCCCAAGCAGGCTGCCTCAGCTCTCCTCTCCTGAGGTTCTGTAAAAAAAAAAAAAAAAAAAAAAAAAACTTGACAGGGAGGCAGCAGGAAAGTTCTTGCTGAGGCCTTTGATGTAATTTCTCTCACAAACATTAACTTGTTTCCCCAGAACCAAAGGCTACTCTGTGGCAGACACCTTTTTTTTTTTCTTGTTATGTAGCCCATGCTGGCTTTGAACTCTCCATCCTCTGGCCTCAGTCTCCCAAGTGCCACCACACCCACCTTATTTAATCTCTTGCAAGTCTAAGTGAGACAAATGTTCTAAAATAAGTATTTCCTCAGATGCAGAATCCATAAATAGCACAGGCCAGGGAATCCTCATCTCTCTTCCAAAAAAATTACTTTGGAACAACAGATAGGACAAGCCCTCCGTTATGACACGCTGAAGGATGGGACAGGCGTCCAAGGGCTGCAGCAGCCACTTCCAAAGAGCTTTTATGGGTAGTGACTCGGTGACTACACCTCAAGCCTCCACTTAGATAACAACAGGGAGATGTTTCCTTTATAAACAACAAACACACATACCCTCCAAGCCACACTCCTGGCTTGAAAACATTTTGGGTCCCAACTTTTTCCCAGATGGTATCAAGTGTTTAAAGTAGAATTGGGCCCTGAGAGAGGCCCAGAAGTTTAGATTTTATTCCGGGTATAACCGACTCCCAATCAGAACAGCAAAAAGATTGCCCCCTTCAAGCCTGCATCCTGGGAGCAGCATGTCCAAGGGAGATGGGCCAAAGTAGAGTTGGGGACTCCAGGTACAGTTTCAGACACTGCCTTCTGCCCACCCCGAATGTTTCTCCTAACCATGGCCTCTTGGCATCTTTTGGCAGCTGCCAGCCTACAAACCCGTCTTACCAGTTCTAGGGCAGCCAGCCATCCTTTATGAATGCCTGAACCTCCAGCCCCTTTTCTGGGAGTGGCCTCCGGGGAGTTGCCTAGTTGGGTGCTTACAGTCCTGGCCTGGGGAGACCACACTGCACAAAGAAGCCATAGCCTGTCCAGGGCTGCACAGAACCACCCTCAGGTAACACAGGCCCTTTGTAAGGAAGTCAAGTCCCTCCCAAGATGGACTTTTCACATCCCCCAACCTGGGAGCCTCGGGCCTGAAAGCCTAGCTGGAATTTTCCCTCCAGGTTAGTTATCACCTCTTTGCTGCTGCAGCCTGCCACCCTGCTGTCTGTCCTTCCCCAGTCTTTACAGAAAGGGGAAGTGAGTGTGACTGGTCCTGTGATTCCTGCCTGATGTTTCCAGCAGGCTCCCTGACTCCCCCCACTACTACCCTGGAATTAGCCAGTGAGCAGGAAGGATGCAGTAGTCAGGCCTGCACTCAGATGTCCCAGTAACCCTAAGCTACAGACCTACAAGGGGAGAGGGAGCTAGGAGGCAGACTCTCCACACTCACAGCTCATGAAGCTGTCATTCCTAGGCCTGTGTGCAGTTTTCATACTCGGGAAGATGGAGCTAATAACTTCATGGTTTAAGCATTTGGGTAAGATGGCCTTTTCAAAACAGCTTTGCTAGGCAGAATAAAAAATGCCCAGCTCCCTGTTTTAAAATGCATTGTCTTTCTTTAAAAATATATTATTTAGATTTATTTATTTTTATTTTATGTGTATGGTTGTTTTGCCTGTGTATTTATATACCATGCCCATACGTGCATGTATGTGTGCCTATGTGTCTGTGTGTATGATGTTCAGGAGGCCAGAAGAGGGAGTCAGATTCCCTGAAACCAGAGTTATAGACAGTTGTTAGCCACCATGTGGGTACTGGGAATCAAACCCAGGTCCTCCGGAAGGGCAGTAAGTTCCTTTAAGGACCCAGTCATCTCTCTGGCCCCCAACATGTATTTTTCTTAATTACATAAGATGCAGATACATACTTTGCCATATTTTCTTCAGAATGTTTTTGGAGGGAGGGGGAAGGCACTCCATCCAAGCAAGCATGCCAGAGGGGCTGCAGCTTGGGAGCAGAGGCAACACCAGATGAGCATCCAGTTGGTGACTGCTGTGTGCCTGTCTGGACCTCCTTTGCGATACTGATGCTTTTCCCTATTGCAGCAGGAGGACAGGGGCTGAGACAAAGCATCAAGAGCAGCATGTGACGGGAACCAGGTGAAGTGGAGCATGGAAAATCCTTCCTGACCTAGGCTTCATCTAATAACCAGAGCAGGTTTGCAATAGGACAAGTGAGCGTTATCTTAAGTGTCCAGGGTCTTGTGCCACATGAGCCATCACTTTGGGGACACTTTTCTCAGCTTACCAACCTACTCCCACTCTTGGGAATGCTTTTCTTTTCTTAATAAGCTGCTTCTAGTTCTAGTTCTAACTGTGCATCCCTGGGAACTAAGCCCTGGGATGCGGGAGCCTGAAATCCAGGGCCCTTTGAACTCAGATCTGCAGGCCTGCATTCCTAGGCATGCTGTTCCCAACATGCTGGCTTTTTGTTTTCTCTTTTCCATTTCCCCTCCTCCTGACAACTGCTGGAAATTTTTAGCTTGCCTGCCCTGTTGTTTCACTCTCAAATTTTAATTAAATTGTCCTTAAGCTTTATCTTGAGTCCGTTTTAAAGTGAGACTCCCAAAGAGGGAACCCCAGTATTTTTGGTAATACCCACTGGACCCAAGTACTGCCGAGGAGAGCTGCCTCCAAACCTTGCACAGCACAAGCACAGCAGCCTTGGAATCCTCCAGGAAGCATCCCTCTAGGTCCTTCCCTCCCCAGGAGCCAGCTTCCTGCCCACATCCCTTGTCTCGGGGCATCCACTGGCCCCATGTGGCTCCTGGTCCACACCCTAAGCATTTCTATGAATCTGGGCTTTGTTGGATGTTTGTCCGTGGGGTGTGAGTCCCAAAGGCAAACAAAGCTGGGCATCCATGCCGCCGATGTCCTTGCTAGCTTTGTGTCCTGGGCCTCGGGCCTCCACTGAAACCTCCAGTGTCACAAGGCCCTGAGATGAAGTTGAGACAGGTCTTGAAGGACAGGCGAAAACACTGAACCTCTCAGAGGAGGAAGCCTGTAGAAGAAGCCTGAAGCACCCTGTGGGTGAGGCTGAATGGGGGCCGAGAATCTCAATGCCTCACAAGGCAGTTTTCCCAGCTGGGCCTGGAATGAGGTCCACAGTGCCCCTCGAAATATAGCAGTCACTGATGTCACCCAATCTTGGGGATCTCCACAGACCATGCACATACCAGAGCAATGGCTTTGAAAACGAGAATCATCTCAGGCAGCATTCTTTCTGAGGTAAAGAGGACACCAGGGAGCCTAAAGCCTAACAAATAGAGTGCATCCCGCAATTCCAGAGAGCCCCCTGTGGGGGTGGAGGGAAGAGTCCTAGGAGAAGCAGCATCCCCTTTCTTCCCTGTCTCGAGAAACAAGCCTGGCATCTGTCCTTGACAAAGCCTCCTGTCCTCAGAGATAACAGGGTTGTGACTGCTGGTGACAGCTGCTCACTCGCCTTTCCAGAGAGGAAGCTGACCCTGGGGCTGTAAAACAATGATAGAAACTGAGAGACCTTTCGTCCCTGTTCCCCCTTTCCTGTTTGTATTCCATCACACAGACTGCATAGCGCACGCACAGCAGACGTGGAGAGAGGACAGGCAGCCCCTGTGAAGAGCTGGCAAGTGTTCTGGATACAGCATGGCTGGCTGGTGGACAGGGAATGATCCAGAAAATGTGCATTTAAACAATCCAACGCTCCCCTTCCTATGAGCTGACAGTTGCGCAAAATGGAGCAAACAACACTTCATTCCACCCTTCCTTCTCAGGGGCTGATAAGACGTGGACTGGCCAGGTGAGAGTGGTTTTGGAGGCAAGGGAATTATTAGCAGCAACTGTAACTGTAGCACAGACCCCACCCCCACCCCCACCCCTCCCCAGAGGATCATCTGAGGTCTGGGAGAATGTAAAACCTCCAAGCAAGATTCTTCCAGAAACTCACCAGCTAGTGGCCCATTTCAGCTGCTGCAGTGAAACGATGTTTCTCTAATGCAGTGTCAGAGAAGTCTGTCCAAGTTACTGGTGACCTTACACAGATACAGATGTTTTAAACAACAGGAATCAATAGGGGAGAAAAAGGGAGGGAGGATGAGAAGGAAGGGAGGAAGGAAGGAAGGAAATAGGAAAGCGTTTTATCAGTAATCAGCTATACAAGGATCAAAATCAATTTTCACAGTGATAAGGATACCAGCTTGCCTAGGACTTTGACTCAAAGCCCTCACTCATTCCCCAAATCAGTCTTTTGCCTTCCGTATTGAGCAGCTCTCAAGGACATCACTTTTTCTGCTGGAAGATCCATTAGCCTCACAGGGAGTGTTCTAAGTTCTGAGGGTGGGTGTGCTAGAACCATCTCAGTCCAGGCTGCTGCCTGTCACCTGCTTCTTGGTCTGTAGAGGAAGGGTACTTGGATTTCAGCTGGGCACCCCCCTCCCCTTTCAGCAGACACAGCACTGAGCATGTGGGGAAGGCACCCCTGTGAGTAACAATAAGCAGATATGCTAGTCTTTGTCCTTGATGCCTGGCACAGAATTCCCAAGCTCATAATTTCCAGAACAATAGAGAGGCATCTTCTGCCCTGACATGTCACCTTTGACCCAATTCCTGGCATGGGATTCCTAACTTTTGCCTAGGATGCCCTGGGCGATAAAAGAATCTTTTGTCAGGGACTGTTTTCTGGGGGGCTGATTGGGGCTGGTCATCAGCTGAGAACTTTCACCCTCTCCCTACATCCTCTGGCAAGTGAAGGGGACTGGAAACTGGCCTAGTAACTGATCGCAACTATGTGACAGAGCCTCTACGAAACAAAAGCCCTCAACTGTGGGGCTTGAGGTGCATCCGTGTTGGTAAACAAAGACACCTGTACATCCTGGGAGCGTGCTCCCAATGGGGCACGGAACCTCCGCACACCTTTCTTTCATGTCCTGCCTTGTACCTCTCTTCAGTTTGGCTCTTCCTGAGTTGTATCTTTTTGTAATAAGTGGGTGAGTCAATAAAGTGTTTCTGTGACCTCTGTGAAGAGTTCTAGCAAGAGACGGATCCCAAAAGAACTGTGGGAGCCTTGGATTTGCAGCCAAATCAAACAGAGGGTAAGAGTGGCCTGGACCAGTGCTTCTACCTGACTCTAAAGGAGAAAGCAGTCTTGCAAAACTGCAATCTTTCTTGTTTATATTTTATTTTATGTTTGTTATTGTTGTTTTTGAGATGGTATCAGGTAGTCTAGGCTGGCTTTGAACTTGTTATGTAACCAACGTTAACCTTAAACGCATGATCCCCTTTCCACTATTTCCCAAGTGCTTAGGACACAGACTATGCACCAGCCCACCTGGTGAAGCTGAGTTCTGCACCTGTAGGATCTGATGCCATCTCCAGGTGGATGGAGTCAGAACTGAATTACTTGGTCAAAGAGGATTGATGAATGTGGGGAAACCGCACCTGGTCACAAAGAATCCTGTGTTGTGGAGCACAGGGGACAAAAGCAGATTTGATGTCCCCTATCTCTCAGACATTCTGCTGGTGGCCTTTAGACCTGTGGCTAAGAAACATCTGTCAGGGGACCTGGAAGCCATATTCTATCAAACATTACCTAAAAGGGTATGTCCAGTACAGGAGCCACCAGCCACATGTGGCTGGCAATCACTTGACACACAGCCATTGGACTTGCGAAGATGTGAACTAAAGAGTGTAAAGTAGCTCCTTAAGAATGCTTTTCAGCACTGATTACATGTTAAACTAGTAACATTCTTCTTTTACTGGTTAAATACATTGTTTAAATTCTTTCTTATTGTGGCATAATACATGTATCCTAAGCCTACCATCTTTTCAAAAATTCATTTTAGTTTTAATTTGGGGGTGGGGTATGTGCATGTGAGTGCAGGTGGCTGTGGAGGCAGAAAGAGAGTATCAGATCCCTTGGAGTTACAGGTGGCTGTAAGCCATCTGACACAGGACTGGAAACTGAACTCAAAACTTCTGCTTTACCATCTTCAAGAATCAGGGCAGAGCTGTTTGGTGTACACCCACTGTTACACTACCATCACGGCCAGCCAACCACAGAACTTCCAAAATCAAATCTCTGTACCCTAATAAGCAACAAGTCACACACACACACACACACACACACACACACACACACACGCACGCACGCACGCACGCACGCACGCACGCACGCACGCACACACACACCTTTTTCATTTTTAGTTTTGAGATAGGGTCTTACTTAACCCAGGCTGATCTCAAACACACTATGTAGCTAAGGATTACTTTGAACTCCTGATTCCTCTACCACTAAAGTATTGGCATTACAAGAATTAATTTATGTGGTATTGGGGATGGAACCCACAGCCTCATTCAGGCTAAGCAAGGGTTATACCAACTGAGCTATATACCTCCAGCCCAACCCATTTCATCCTCGTCCTTGGCAGCTGCCATTCTACTGTCTGTCTCTATGAACTTGAGTATTCTAGTGTAGTATCTAACATAAATGGAAAAATAAAATATCTGCCCTCTTGTGAGCAGCTTATTTCTCTTAGCACAATGTCCTGGAGATTCATCCAAGCTGTAGCCTGTGTCAGAATGTCCTTCTATTTTTCAGGCTCAGGAATACTCTTCTGTGTGTGCAGATCACACTTTTTATCCATCCCTCTGCTAGTGACACTTGGGTTTCTTTCACCTCTTGGCACCTCATAGTGCATGTGCTGCTGTGAGCATGAGTGTGGAAATCCAGCTTTCATTTCCTTGGGGGTGTGCCCATCAGGAGAAATGACAGATTGTTCATTTGCTCACTCTCCCCTTAACATCTGAGAAGCCACAGTTCTCTCTTCCACAGTGGCTGCTTCACTCTACCCACCAGCAAAGGGCAAGGATTATCATCCTTCCATACATGCACTGGGGTCTCCCTAGGGTCATCCTATTGAATGTGAAATCCATATCTCATGGTGGCTTTGGGGTCACTTTCCTGGTTGCAGGTGACTGTTCAAATGCCCTCCTTTCACATTTGTTGTGTTTGTTTGCTTTTCTAAGTGGCATCTTATGTAGCCTGACTGTTCTCAAACTAGCTATAAACCAAGGCTGGCTTTGAACTTGTCTCCATCTTTCAAGCACTGGGTTACAAGTGTCTGCCACCATCCATGGCTCTCTGTTCACATTTTAAAATGTAGTATTAGAATATATGTAAGTGACACTGTGGTTCACAGTTAATTTCTACGACACAGCTTGAATTAGGAGTGAACAAAATCATGACTATTGTCACACACCAATGTTTTGACAGCAGAAGAGACCCTGAAGGTTAATTAGTTGGTCAGTTGCTCAGCAGGTTAGGTAGCCAGTTCATTTATTTGTTGTTTGCTTGTTTGTTTGTTTGTTTTGAGACAGGGTCTCACTCTGGATTCCAGGCTAGCTTTGAATTCTCAATCCTCTTGCCTCTCTACCCTTCAAGTGCTTGACTGAATGTCTACACCACCACCCATGGCCTTAAACCTAACATTCAAATTTAGAAATTCAGCTCCAACTGATGATCTCTAGGTTTCTTTCCAGAGGTGCTATTTTATAACTTCTTTCATCTGTCTGTTCTAAGTGCCTAGAGAATGATGCCACCATAAAGGGCTGCATCTTCCTGCATCAATTAACATTCAAACCGTTTGTCCACAGGCATGCCCGCAGCTACTCTCTCCAGTGATGCTCTCTTCTCCATTTTGGCAAGTAGACATTTAAAACTCACCATCACAAACTCCAAAGATGGGGAGTATAAAACATGGTCCTCTAGAAACTTCAGAACTATACATATACCTTCCAATGACAAGAGAGAACCATTCTTTCCAGGAGAGCCTGGGAGTCTGTGGTAATATATTATTTATGATTTATTAAAGCTTGCCTGAAGATCAGAAAAGCAAAGCAACAGGTCACTAGCTCTTCTCTACCTCAGAATGAAAGGTGATCCTGGCTCCACCAAACCTCAGACTGTAACCTTTCCTCAGTATGGCTGGAGAATCCAGAGACTTCAATATCTTCTGAACCTCGATGTGGCTGGAGAATGAAAGCCTGATACTGACTACTGAACACCCTGCTCCTATCCTTTATACCCCTCTAGCGCTGGGATTAAAGGCGTGTGATCCCAGGTGCTGAGATCATCTTTATATGAGCTGTTTATCTTTAGGACTGGTTCAATCTTGTGTAGGTCTTGGTGGCCTTGGACTCACAGAGATCTGTCTACCTCTTAATTTTGAGTCCTAGGATTCAAGGTGTGTACCACCACTGCTTGATCTCTATGCTTGAGGCTGACTTTGCTTTGTGAATCCTCAGACAAGCTTTAAGGAATCATAAATAATATATCACTACGAGTGTCATCAAAATGTCTCTCCTTGCTCTTTGGTTTGGAGATTTCGAGTTTTCTCCATGGAACTGTGTGTATTTCTTGAATTCTCCAACCTTACCCCATCTCACCACCTTGTCTACTAACAGTTCTAAGAGTCTGATAAGTTGCAAATAGGTAGAATAGGGCAGTCATCTCTAAGCAGTTACAAGAAGGGTTGGCTCATAAATATACTACCTTTCATGAGTTTCCCTGTTGTCCCCAGTGGATCAGCATCACTGGTCCAGACTTCTTTACAACATACTAAAGATCCCACAGAGTCATGGTCCACCCCATTGTGTGACATGATTCCGGGGGAGACATGAACAAATATCTACTTACCCTAGGCAGAGAGTCAACAGACCAAAGTATGTATATACCACCAAAATCCAACGTGGTGAACCAATGAGTTTTACTGGGATTCCTCATAGGAGTATGGATGAACAGAAATGACACAAAGACAACTGCATCACTAAAGCCCACCCCAGCATGGGTGGCAGTTCACGAAAGCTAGAAACCTGGATCCCACTGCACAGCCTGCAGGCAGCTCAACAGGTCGAAAACTGTCCTTTCCAGGCAGGGAAGTTGCTTTGAGTGACTCCCAGGCATCTCAGTTTGTCTGAGAGTGCCCCTCAGCAGTCCTTATAGCTAATATGAACTTGGGGAGGGAAGGATCTAGTGAATCTGGTTTCACTGAAGTTGTTGAGTTGCTTCTTCTCTTGGGTTTAAGGAATTTCCCTACAGGGTGGCATGCTCTGCCCATCCCTTAGCCTACCCTATTGTTTTAACTCTGGTTGAACATCCCATGTCTTACTGAGCTTCCTTCTAAACTGGAAGGTTTTAGTCTTGGAGGAAACTGCTGCAGAACACCTTCAAGGAAAGGCTAAAGTTTCCAGTAACAGAAAGCCTTCAAAGGTCATGCCTGTGACTTAATTATTAGCTTGTTTCATCTGTTTGTTTAGTGGTAGCTGGAATAGAACTGAAACCTTGTGCATGCTAAGCAACTGCTTGACCATTCAGCAATAGTTACAGCATCAGCCCATCTGGAATTTGGGGAGGAAAAAGAGGAGAACTGTTGATATGGTGCAAAAGGATGCTGATGATGGAGTTCAAGGCAGGGCAGGGGAGGAAGAAGAGGAGAACAATTGATGCGGTTTGAAAGGAAAACAACGGTGATGTTTTAATGCCACATCACAAATGAAGCGGTCCCAAGAACTGGGAATCAAATTTTAAACGTAGAGCCTAGAAGACACTGGGAAAACATTCACCATGGCTTCTGTGAGAGATGGTTTACAGAAACATTCATTTTAATCTAGATTCGTGTAACACAGGGAGTACTGTATCTTAGAAATAAGGACAAGTCAATAATTTCCTTTTAACGTAAACTTTCAACCCATTAATTTCTCTATAATAAAGTCAGCTAATCTCCCCTGTGTCAGTTCCTTCATCTGAGGGGTTAATTAGAAGGGTTAATTTGTCATGTGTGGTTTGGGGGTTGCTGTAGCACCTTCTGAAATGACAGATATGTGGACACTTCAAAAAGGTAAGAATAATAAAAACAAGCATTATAAGCATAGAGCCATCCATCATTGTCTATGACAACTGAATCCAGGACCCCCCACAGACAGAATGTCTCTTCCATAAAAGGTGAAAATTTACATAAAGCATAGTCACACCCTTCACATCATTTCTATATTACTTTAAGACACTTAACACAATATAAATGAAACGTATATTGTTGTTACACTGTTAGTCATTATTTTGGAATAATGACCCTCCCAATGTCTTTACATGTTTAGTACAGATGTTTAACAGTTAAACAGATTTTAAAATGAGCACCCGTGGGTAGGCTGACTGTAAATGTAGTTCACTATGCTAGGTTACACGGGGGTGAATGGGGCAACTTTAGTTTTCATTAATGAAAGGGGAATCTGTACGGGCAACGGCAAGACAGAAGAAGCGCAAGGTTTCCACAGATTGGCCAACTGGCTTTCACCATCCTTCAGTAGCTTGATTTGAAAAGTTGTGGTGTGATATGTGTCACATAGTTCATAAACCATTCACAAACACTGAAAGAAAAAGGCTAAACCAGGCTCAGGAAGTGGTAACTAAGAGAAAAAGAAAACAACCCTGAACACAGCACTGGGAGCTCTGGGGCTCTGTGATTGTGTGTGCAAAAGTTTCCTGCAACCAGGAGCCAGGTTCCTGGAGAGGAAAGGTGTGTGTGTGTGTGTGTGTGTGTGTGTGTGTGTGTGTGTGTGTGTGTGTGTGTGTGTGTGTGGAATCTTAGGATGGTCTTTCTCCACCCAGTAGTTATACTGCAGGTATTACAGATCTCAGAAATCTTCAACCTTTGTCTCCAACTTAATCTAAATTATGGAGGCGAGAGTACCTGGGGATCGAGAGGCCCAGTTTTCTGGCTGCAAGGCATCTCAGCCCACAGCAGGTGTGGCAGCCACTCGGGTTATTTGTTTTTCCAGGTCAGGTTGGCATATTTCTAGCCTAGAGCTCTGAGCAAATGTTTAAATTTCATTTTCAATCATCTGGTGTTCAGTGCCCCAGCATCAAAGACAGGCCCCTGCACGCTGCCCTTCTAGATCCTGGTCTTCACCCCAGGGCTGCTGGGAATACACGAGATGGGAGGAGAGAAGGGGTGATCTGGGCAGGTGCTGTACGGTGTCTCCACATCTTCCTAGGACCCACTTCTCTGGCGCATCTTATCCTCCTCACTCCCTTTTCTGAGGGCTTGCTTTGTTTACGAAGACGCTATCAGTCTCTTTGCAGTTGCTATGGCAACCACCAGGGGTCAGTTTATAAAAGGGGAGGAAGTCCACTTTTGGGGAGGCAGCTTTCCAGCTCCCGTGCAAAGCCCAGCAGAAAACAAAAGCCCAAATACCCCGGAGGAAACACAAGGAAAAGCTTTCTCTCAGCCCAAGCATCATGCTGGGCCTGAAACATCACCAATCACTGCCACATTTCCTCCTGCAGAAAGATCATTCCAGAACAGCTGGTGGGAGCAAGAAGGCCTCACCCCTGCATTCCCCAGATTGCTCTCTCTCTTCCTCCTTCTCCTCCTGCCCTTTGCCTTAATGGCCTGGAAGCATCTGTGTTTGAACTCTCTGGCAAGCAGTTGTGCCTGAACTGAGAACCAGAGGCTACAAATGCCATTACCTCCATCTTTCTCACAGCACACCATTGGAGCCACAGATGGTGTCAAGGTCTATCCTGGATCACCTGTGTCAGTTCAGAACACCATTGGAGCCACAGATGGTGTCAAGGTCTATCCTGGATCACCTGTGTCAGTTCAGAACCTTCTGGGGAACAAAGTCCCAGGATGCCCACCCAGCAAAAAAAGTTTTTAGCACTAATTTGCTTAACTGACCAGACTTATCGGATAAGAAGTAGAGAGGACCAACTAAGTTTGGTTTTCAGCCACACGACGGATGAAGGGAAATCTGAGCTGAGTTCATTTCAACAGTTTATTTGGACGGGGAAAAAAAAAAGGTTCTAGCTACAGGCTGATCTCTAGTGGGAAACTGATTCAGAATGTCCCCAACAGAGAGTTTTCCCAGACAGTATTCATAGCCAGAGAAAAGGAAGTGACCTACAGGAACAAGCTACTTAGCAGTAATCAGCATGGAACCCACCCCATGATGGTGTCTGGCAGTTCATAGCCTCTGGTTGGCTAGACTCCTTTACAGGATTATCAGAAAACAATCTCAGTTACAGGACAACTTGCTTTCACATCAACCTAGGTTCCAGTTCACCATATATGGAGACCATCTTGAGCCAAATTTTATCATGTAAGAGTGGAATCAGATTTAGGCCAAACTTATTCATTTAACACAATGAATGCATTTTTGTATGTATCCTATATAATATTTGTGACACACATGTGCGGAGACTATCCTATTGAACTCTAGTCTTTCTTCTTTACAACTACCAAATGCCAGGACACAACAGACAGAGAGGAAAGCAGAGATTACCTTTTGGGACATCCTAGCTCTTGCATTATCATGTTGACTATGAATGAGATGATTTACATACATGCAAATCACAAACCTTGTCACAGAAGAAGTTACTAACCTTTCTTCAGATCTTTGTAAACACCACACAAGTTGATTAAAAGTGTTTAAGACTAGTGTTTAAGACTACATCTTGTGACTTAATCAGTCCTTCCTCTTCACTAATAGTTTAAAAATCAGCTTTACCCCTGAATGTGGGTGTCAATGAGGAGGCCTAGGTAATCTATGGGGCCTTGGGTAGTATTTATCCCTGGCGTATAAATAGACTTTGAGTGCCCATGCCACAATATGGGAGGCTCTCCTCAGCCGGGACTCTTGTGGGAGGGCCTAGGCCCTGCCCTGGATGAAATGACAGTCACTGGAGATCCACCATGGAGGGCCTCATCCTCCCTGGGGATCAAAGTGGAGACTGAGGAAGTGGGGGCCTGGTGGGGAGGGTGGGAGAGGAGGGGAGAGAGAAGGAGAGGGAGCTGAGATTGACATGTGAAACAAGATTGTTTATAACTTAAATAAAGAAAATAATTTTAAAAATCAGCTGTTCTAAAGATAATGGAGTTTACTTTCCTTGACGGGAAAAATACTTTGATGGGCACAGGGTAAGGAATAAGTAGCCTTCTGAGCACGATATTAGGAAAGTCTGAGTGGTGTACAGAGCCCTGTGGAGCCGGCATGGTATCTGTATCCTTTCAGTTCTAATGTGGCATCCAAGCATGCATGAGATGTAGAGAAGGACATTAGCATCTTCCAGAGCTTCTCAGACCCTCCCTACCTTCTTTTCCTAAAATTGTAAAATAGTAAAGACTATTTTATTTCATTTTTGTATATATCTGTATGTGGATATGTGCAGGCGAGTACAGTACCTATAGAGGCCAGAAGAGGGCATCTGACCCCTGGAGCTGGAGCTGGAGGAGGGTGTCAGCTGCCTGACATGGGGCTGGGAACTGAACTCAGGTCCTCTGAAGAGCAGCGAGTGGTCTCCACCACTGAGCCATCTCTCCAATCCAGCTTCCCCTTTTCTTCAGGTTTATTTTTATTTTGCTTTATTTTGTGTGTTTCTGAGAGAGAAATAGTATCTCACTATGTACCCCAGACTGGCCTTGAAATTCACTATGTGGCCCAGGTCGGCCTCAAACTCATGATTATTTTGCTTCTGTGTCATCAGACCTGCCTTCTCTTCCTTATGTTAAGAAACTTTGCCTGCTTATTCACTGACTCAGTGGAATTGTGAAGACTTCAAAACCTAAATCATTGGCCGCACTGCAGTGCATCTGTTTTGAACCCAAATCCACACAATTAAGGCAGAGAAATCAAAACATGTGCTGGGAGCACAGCTCAGTGCTACAGTGTGTACTTGGGATCAGTGCTCTGTACCTAGGTAAGAAAACAGAAACCAAGAAGCACAAGGGAACATGGAACAAAGCAAAAGGCAGCAAAAATCCATCCGATCAGCCTCCCTCACTCCCCAGCCCCAGGCCAGCCCACCCCCACCCACTTGGAGCTCATACTGCAAGGGTTCTCACAGCTCTAAGGCAAGGCAGGTAATTAAAGGAAAACTGTCAAGATAAACATCATGTACAATCAAAACATTCCCACCCGATACTAGCTCTAAAAATGTCAATAAACTTTTCACCAAGAAAACAAGGGGTGTTATCTTAGAAGCTGGGGCTGTGGGTTCGAATTTCATCTACCTGACCCTGTTAAAGTACACAGGCTCTTTAGTTTCTCTGTGAACAAAATGTAACTGCTGTGTTCGCACTGTCGAGGGCTCCCTGCCCCAACTGAGGGGTGCTGTGAGCGCATCTGTAAATCACACGGAGCTGCTCAGACAAAGGGCAGGGAAGTATGAAATGAGATTATTTGTGCTATTCACTTCGAGAACAAACAGCATGATTCAGGAGCTGGAATCAGTTTAGTTTGGTCAAAATCAGTTTGAAAGAATTTATTTCTTAAATTCTACTTTCATTTTTTTAAAACAAGCAATTTAAAAAAAAAAAAAGCATTTGTTAATAAACCCTCTATCTGAAGCTCAAGCTGTCAGACAGTGTCTATTTAACACCATCCAACAGCTGTTAAATGGGATAATCACCTGTTTATCCTCGTGTCACTAATTCAAATGCTAATTGCACTCCAGACTCCTGGCTTAGTCTCAAGCCAGACCAGGTGTGCTGCTCTGGGAGAGGCTGCTACAGGGTCATGGGCCTCCATGGATTCATTTCCAGTGACCAGATAAAACAGGGCAGTACACACACACACACACACACACACACACACACACACAAGCTCATTACTGTGAAAAATTTGACATGACCTAAATATCAAATCACACTGGTGTAAACAACCACGGAATGTAGCATTTTGCAACCATTATAAGGATGTTTATGAATATGATTAAATGACAAGGAAAAATTCTTGCTTTTGTTGAATGGGAAAAGCAGTATGCAAAACTATTACATGCTAACACATATGAATAGAAAAAGAAAACCTGCTGGGGGCACAGCCCTGGTGTTGTCCAATATGTAAGAAATCCTGGATTTCATCCTCAGAAGATACAGGAAGGTTTGCACGTAATAGTTTGGAAACTACAAATCAACGTTTATCAATTTAAAGTATTAGGGACTAGGGAGATGGCTCTAGGGCTGAGAGCATTTGATTCGAAAGCACGAGGACCTGTGTTTAAATCCTCAGCACCCATGTAAAGACAGGTGTGTCTGTGTGGTGTGACTCCAGGGATATGCCAGCCAGCCAGGAGGATTGCTGGGCCTTACTTACTGGCCACCAGCGTGGTTTCAGATTCAGTGAGAGACCTGGGGGGGGGGGGATAAGAGGGACAGTGATAGCTCAAGATACCTGATAGGTTCCTCTATCCTCCACACATACATAGGCCCTAGCACCCATATGTGCACATACATACAACATACATACATACACACACACACACACACATACACAAATTAAAATAGAAATAAAAAATAAGAAACTAAAATGTTGACTAAGCACAAAGATAGTTCTAGGGTCTGGAGATGTGTTACTATCTGTTCTCATGGAGTTTGCATTCTGGAGAGAGACAAAATACAATAACTTAATATAAAAAGGTATAGTGTTAGTGATGGTGTTGTCTGGTATGTAAGAAATCCTGGGTTTTATCCCCAGAAGTTCCACTTATTGATCTGAGAATGTCCAGTGAAGGAAGTTTGTGGTGGAAAACTGTACATTTGATGTGCCCATTTTATATCTCTGTGGGAATGTCAGGTTTGCAACTCTGGATTCTGGACCTCAGGGAGAAACAGGAGCTCTAGATCAGGGGTGATTTGCATGTTGAAGATCATCATAGTTCATGTCCCTCCCACTGTAACAAAATACTAGAGACTGGGTAGTTATTTCTTATGGCCCTTGTTGGGGAAGTCCTGTGTATATGTCAATAAATTACTGCTGGCCAATAGGAATCTAGATAGGTGGGGCTAGGAGTCCAGGAGGATTCTGGGAAGGAGAAAGACAAGGGAGTCAACATGTAACGCCATTGGGGGTAGGAAGCCTGGAACTATTCTCCGGTAAGAGACATACTTAGATTAACAATTATGGGGTAATTACTTAAAGCAGAGCTAGCCAGTAAGAGACAAACAAGGCCAGCAGCTTCATAATGAATATAGCCTCCTGTGTGTTTATTTGGGACTGATGCGGATCTGGAACCAGGCTGGTGGGAAGGCTCCACTCAAGGAAAGCTTCTCTTAACAAAATGGTGATCAGGAGTGGGATCATGAATTTCCACGCAGAATGACAAAAGCTTTAAAGGAATTTTAGAAACAGAAGAACGGAGAGAAGCACAGAATTTTGGTAGCAGCATTTTCTCAGTTGTGCTCTGTTTTGCTATCAACAAGCCAAGATTCACGTGGCTTGCTTACCGGAGTCTTCCTGACTCGGCATAAAAAGAAAAAAAACCCAGCAAGGTTGTTTTAAGACACTCTGCTAACGATTGAAAGGTGTGTACGTACAGCTGGAAGTGGCAGCTTTTGCTGGATGTCAGCATGGACTGAGGCGGTAAGCTGAAGTCCACGCTTACGCTCGCCATCTTGAAAAAAAAAACGGCAGTTTAAAACAGCGCAGTTTTACAGATAAGACACGTGGCCAGAAAAACATAAAGATTTACAGTAAAGTCAGACTTGGATAAAAAAAACTTCTAAAGGTTTACAGTGTGTTTAAAAATATATGTGAGATTGAGAGAGAAACTGAAACGACAAAGTGGTAAATAAATACAAAAGCCGGCTGTGGTGGCGCACGCCGGTAGGAATTGCCCCAGAGGCAGAGGCAGGCAGGTTTCCGAAGAGAAACCCTGTCTCAGAGAAAAATAAATAAAAGTGAAAGAAATAAAGTAATAATAGATAAATAAATAAGCCACGTAAAGATGGAAAATACACAGAGAGTCTGGATACTGTACACTATTGTGTTTTTCAGTTTTTTGCTTGCTCAGGAAGGAACTGATACTAAAGTACACTTGCTTATAAATGCTGCTAAATTAATACAACTTATATCTTTTGAAAATACCTTGACTTCAAAATTTAAGCATAAGGATATGTTACTCGGAAAAGGAGTTTTTATTTATGTTTCTACAGAAAATGAAAAGCTGAAGATTTCTTCCAGGCTTCTGTGGTTGCACGAACCAAGACCCCCGGAAGCAGTGGACCAGGTGTTCCAACAATTGAGACAGCTAAGATGATGCAGCTTTACAGACCACGAAAATAAGGACTTATACAGGTTTCTGAGTTTTGTCATGATCCCCATGGTATGAACAGCGCCCCCTTCCAGCAGGAAGCAGTTTGGAATGAGCGACGTCCCAATTCCCATCTTGTTTATAAATCTTTGTTTTCATTTAAATGGGATTGTTTATAATTGGCTAATGATCACAGCCAATCCTTTTAATGGTAAAAAGGGGAATTATGGTATGGGTATTGTTTTTCATTTATTGACACAAATTCAAGGTCAATTTTGTGATGCTTATATTTCTCCTCTTGATTAAGTATTGTGCTTATACTGATCTTTTACAACGTAATGCATAATTGAATACAGACTATAGATAGTTACTTATAATAGAATTTCTAGTTACATAAGTTAGGTTTCTAGATATACAGAAATATATTTGAGATGGACAGTCTTCAAACCTCTCAAAGACCTTCAGAACATGGCATTTAAAATGGTTTAGGGTTTGTCTTGACAATGAGAAATGTCTGCTCCTGGCAGCACCAATTACGTCTGAGAGGAAGATGGGCATCGAAGAAACTCGTTATAAAGTTTGCTTTCAACATGGCAAGATTAGCCATTTGGGCAAGAAACTGCTCTTGCCTAGATTGTTTGACTGTTGTTGTATCATCTGGACATGCAGGACCTACAGGAAAGTGAATGCTGAACTCAGTCTTACAGGGTTCCTGCTTCATGGAAGAGTCCGCGAGACTTTCTGCAGGACAAAGAAAAATGAATGATAGACTGCCAGTGCAGATGGACAGTTTGAAATTTCCTGCTCTGCTGAGAAGTGTTCCAGACACATTGTGGCCTATGGGCTGAAGATGGATGCCCCAACGTTACAGAGGAACTTCGGGTGACTGTCCAGGCAGTAAGATGTCTCTGTCAATCCTAGTGTTTATATATTATCCTTCTGTGGTCTTTGATGGAGTTGAAGACAGATAGTTATAATTATAGTTTTCCTTAGTTATGATAAAAGATAAGCTACATATGGAACTTTGGACTCACAAGGATGGGATGGATGATATTTTCTTTAAATCTTGCTAAAATATTGTAACTATGTTCATATTTGATAACTGTTCTGTTATATACAATTTGACTGTGTTAAAGTTAAGACCTTTCTTTTTGTTTAAACAGAAAAGAGGAGATGTTGGGGAAGTCCTGTGTATATGTCAATAAATTACTGCTGGCCAATAGGAATCTAGATAGGTGGGGCTAGGAGTCCAGGAGGATTCTGGGAAGGAGAAAGACAAGGGAGTCAACATGTAACGCCATTGGGGGTAGGAAGCCTAGAACTATTCTCCGGTAAGAGACATACTTAGATTAACAATTATGGGGTAATTACTTAAAGCAGAGCTAGCCAGTAAGAGACAAACAAGGCCAGCAGCTTCATAATGAATATAGCCTCCTGTGTGTTTATTTGGGACTGATGCGGATCTGGAACCAGGCTGGTGGGAAGGCTCCACTCAAGGAAAGCTTCTCTTAACAGCCCTAAAGGCTGGGAAGTCCAACATGAAGAGGACCTTGCCTGATAAGAGCTACCTGCTGTGCCACCCTAAGGTTGGGGCAAAAGGGCAAAACTATGTGAGAAAAACTAAAGGAGTCAAATCAATGTTTAACCTCCCTCCATAACAGCACTCATCCATTCGTAAGTGCAAGCCACTGTAACAGTAAGCTAGTGGTCTCTTAAAAGTCTCACATCACAAGTTAGCAAGATGACTCATCAGGTAAGGGCACTTGCCACCAGGCCTTCCAACCTGAGTTTGATCCCAGAATTCACATAGTGAGATGAGAGAGTTAACTTCGACCAGTTGTCCTCTGACCTCTGACATGTGCATTCATGCATTTCACAGTCATACATGCACACACAGATAATAGATTTTTTAAATACAAAGAAAAAACAGTCCTACATCTCATTGCATGCACTGGAGATTAGCTCCCTGTTGGGGAAGTCCTGTGTATATGTCAATAAAGCGCTGTTGGCCAATAGGGAACCAAGATAGGTGGGACTAGGAGTCGAGGAGGATACCGGGAAGAAGAAACACTGAGAGTCAAGATGTAATGCCATGGGGTAGGAAGCCCGGAAACTTCTCTGGTAAGAGATATACTTAGATTAACAATTATGGGGTAATTACTTAAGTCAGAGCTAGCCAGTAGGAAACAAGCAAGGCCAACAGCTTCATAATTAATATAGCCTCCTGTGTGTTTATTTGGGACTGATGCGGCTCTGGAACCAGGCTGGCAGGAAGGCTTCTCTTTACATAAGCTCCCAACATGTAAGTTCTAGAAAACACACTCAAGCTGCAGCAATGGTATTTAAAGTTAGGAATAATCTAGAACAGTGGTTCTCAACCTGTGGGTCACAGCACTGTTGGGAGTCACATATCAGATATCTAGCATATCAGATATTTACATTATGATTCATAATAACTGCAAAATCACAGTTATGAAGTAGCAACACATTTTATGGTTGGGGGTCACCACAACTGTGTTAAAGGGTCTCAGCATTGGGAAGGTTGGAAACCACTGATCTAGAGAAACCACACAGAGAGAGGAAAGACATCCCAGGACAGCATTGGAGGGCAAGTTCAGGAAGAAACTCTGAAACGGAAGGAAAGATAAGGGAATATGGTGTACCAACACCAGGTTTAAGACAGAAGGAATATTGACTGTACTCAGTTGCTAAAAGGCTGCTCTCAGCAAAGAGACATCACTACCAATTTTGACCACAAGGTGACCAGTACTTATATGACACTAGGCTTAGCGGAGTGGTAAGAATGAAAATAAGGAAGTGGGAGGGGCGCTGTGAGCACAGAAACCCCTGGGGGGAGAGCAAAGATGTGGGCGGAAGCTGGCCAGATTGCACCAAGTGCAGACTCTTTGGGGAAATAGTTTTAAGGTCTTCTTTGTTGCAACCTGGATCTTAGCCTCTTAAAGGATTGGTCACCAGCCTGTGTGCTGTCTGGAAGGGGTGGAAACTTTAGGAGGCGGAGCCTAAAGGGAAGTCTTTAGGTTATTTGTAGTGCATCCTCAAGGAGGGTGGTGGGACTCCAGTCTGCTTTCCTTTGTGTCTCACAGATGACGTCATCATAAGTGGTCTCCATCCACGGTGCTCTCCCCTCACGTGCAGCCTCAGCACCGACCCGAAGATGCAGGGCCAAGCAGCAATGAACCAAAACCTCTGCAGCCACTGGCCAAAATAAACTTTTCTTCTTTTTCTCTTGCGTTGTCTCGGGTATTTATTATCTGACTGTGTCTGAGAAACACATTTTAGAACTGGCCAGACTGATGGAACAGAAAAGACTTCTTATAATACTGTGGAGGAGAGAGAAGAAAGAGGTGGCAGAAAATCTAGAAGGGGGTGATCTGGAGAAGGTGAGGTGACCTTCTGTGGGAGAAAGGAAATGTCAACCATAGTAACAGAAGAGAAGGCCAGAAGATCCAGGACAGACGCTGGTGGCCTGAAACATTTGATGGGCAGAGGAAAGGGACTCCTTCCTGGTCACTTTGATTTTCCTGGTGTGTCATATGACAAGCTCACCAGCAGACAGTCCTCATCCTGGCCCCAGCACAGTGAAAGCAGCCACACAGAACTGTATGCCAATCAGCTTTATTTACAGACACCAACATTTTAATTTCATGTCACTTTTGTGTATGTAAACATTCTTTTAATTTTTTTCCAGGCATTTCAAAGTGGAAACACTGTTCACGGGCCATGTAAAGGCAGAAGCAGACCAGCTTTATCCAGAAATCATAGTCTGCTATAGTGGAGCAAAGTATGCCAGCCACTTCTGTGATAGAAGTGAGAAAGGGCCTTGGCTGGGGCCTGCTCCCTTAGACAGCACGAGGTGAGCAGGCGTGGAGCAGGAGGACCTCACGCAGGAGGAATGGTGGGCCTCCCTCTTATCTCCTACTAGCTGGTGTTCGCTTCTTCTCTCAACTAGCATTTTCTACCACGTCTTTTAAAACGATGGGTTAACTCTGACGCTGTGTAAACAGAAAGGAAACAAGCAGTGCTGTTGTCTGAAAGTTGACACATCCTTCATGCTGACCCAGGTACTGAATACAACAGGAGCTTTGTGGAGGCACCGAGGACCAGCTTCCCCCAGAGCGGTCTTCACATTGTGAAGTCCATTACAGCCAGGACCCTGAGATTCCCAGACAGTCATCTACCACTGTGTGGGATGAAGCTGTACTGTGGGTGGGTGTGTTCTAATAACAGAAGGAAGTGAAACACTGAAGTAATAATGTCCTTTGGGTATTCTAACTTACCTTTAGATTTAAAAATTAAACAAAAACTGCCCAAATTATTTTTGCATCTTCTGGGTCTATGTGAGAGGAAGAATGTGAAGTTGCATAAAAATGGATGGAAACCGGGGACAAAACTAGGGAGATTGAAATTTCCTTGAAGAATAATTGATACTCAAGATGAATCCAATTATAAAATTGGTCCATCTGTGACCCATCTATAAAATTCTCAAATGTTTAAACTAGACTAACTTTGTTGTTTCAAATGAACCACAATTTCGATGATTCTTTTAAAAGATAGATACTGTTTGTGTTTTTCAGGCACATTTGCATGTTTTCACTTTTTCCTAGTAGATAATTGAAATTGATTTTATTTAGTAAGTGAATAAAATGGAATGAAACACTTGAAAGTTTAATTATTAGAATGGTACAGTGTTCTTCTTAGCTCATTGTCAGATGGACACATCTGGTTCACACTGCTTTCCTGGTTAGAGGTTAGATCTTTGTACACTGAGTGTCTGGTTTTTTCCAATGCTGCAGGCACAGCTTTTAAAAGGGTTCTGTAGGAATCAACACTGGGAAGAGTTAATGCTTCCGTTTAAGGCAATTTAGGGTGCACGAAATCACATGATTTATTAATGGTCATCTGGGAAGGTGTCCTTCCTAGCCACTCTGCTTACTAGATGGGCAAGCTGTCTACCCTCCTGAGCCTTCTATCTAACCCTGCAATAAGAAAAACACAGTTCCCAGCACTCAGGGCTGTTAATGCATTAAGCGGGTAGCCCTGAAGAGCTCCTGGATGGTGCCTGGGGGTGGGGGGTGGATAAATTCTCCTCACAGAGACTCTCATCTGAGTTCCCAACTTAAACAGGCGCATGTCCACCAGGCTGTAAGAGCCTCTGTACATCACGGGGAAGGGACAAAGCAGGGCACTTGGCACGCAGTCAGCACTCGGCAAACATATGGAGGTTGATGAGTTAATTAGCCGGCTAATTAATCAATATAACCAAGGCCCTTCCATAAAAGAACAACACATTCACAAAGCCTTCCTTCTGTGGAGGTTTTACAGTCTCCCCATTGAGTGAGTCATGTCTAGAGGGCCAACTGATTGCACAAGGAGGGGTGGACACGGAGCCGTGCCCAGGGTGTGAGCGGTTGGAGGAGGCTGTTCTCTTCTGTCCAGCCCATTTGCTCTCTCCTCCAGTTGGTGTTCCAGCCTCGCTTTATCGGCTGCCCACTGAGGTCTGTATAAATAGGAACCCGACATTCCATAGGATCCCCACCAGCATTCTCCCACCTTTCCTGCTCCACCCCTAGCCACACCCCTGCAGCAAGATGACTCTGCTTGGGCAATAAGCTCACATGCTTTCCAGAAGCTGGGCATAGGGGAACATGGCTGCGTTCATAGCACTGTGAGACCAAGGAAAGAGCATCACACGTTCCAAAGCCAGCATGAGCTACTTATCAAGCTTCTGTCTAAAACAAACAAACAAACAAAATTTGCCAGCCAACACATCTCCCTAAATATTGGACTGAGAGGTGCCAATACAGTTGACCAATCACAATGAAGTCAGTAGCCGTTAGTAAGGATTGTGACATTACTGAGCTGTATTCAAAGTAAATAAGGAAACGAAGTGAGCTAAATGGAAAGCAAGAGCAGATATTTAAGGGACAGCAACATGGGAAGCCACATAGAGTGGCAGAAGGACAGGACAGTTGCCTCAACATCAAGTTGATCCAGGTCATGGTGTCGGGTCCCAGATGACGGAGACCCTAGGCATCTATAGTTAACTGAGTATCTACTCTGCTGGTAGAGACAAGCCTTTGTGTGATACTGGTTGGGCCAACAAGCAAACTGTACCGTGAAGATGAACATTCTTGGGACATCATGGAGCATACATAAAGCTTTACATTCCTGTCAGAGATACAACACTCTGCAACACAGAGGGGAAGCAGAAGCCACCCTGATTCTTCTAACACTCAGCTCAGCTCATTCACACCATCTCCTCCCGGGTTCAAAACCCCGAGCCCTGAGATACTCAAGACAGCAAAGCTGGAATTACAGGCTTCCCTCACGTTCACACAGCCTCATGGGTGTGTTTTGCACGGCTCCCTTCTTCACTTCCTGATACAGCCCACTCCTGAGTGGTGGCGGCCAAGCCTTCCTCTTCTCACAATTATCTCTCTAGTTATGAACTTGATTCTCACAATCACCAGAGTTTTGAAAATGTATGAGATATTTATTCAGAGAATTCACAGTACACCAAAACCAAAAGTATGACAATGCAAATGACCACTTTCAAATGAATAAACTTAAATATACCTGCTCTTAAGAAGAAGTTAGACCTGCACTCGTCCTGTAAGTCCTTTGTTTCCTGGGGAAAGTATTAAGTGAGGCTGTTGTAGGGATTTGCACGCCACCTTCCTATAAGCTCTACTCATGCTGGTCCAAAAATGGAGCAACCCAAGGACCCATGGGCATACAGATAGACGACCGCTGACACATGCACTCATGGAATATCATTCCTTCTAAAAGAAGAAAGTCTGACTCATATCACAGTGGGATGCACTTTGAGAACATTCTAAGAAAAACTAACCACTTGCTAAAGACCAAAAACTGTCTGATTCTGCTTATAAGAGAGTACCTAAGGTGTCAGATTTACAAAGATTGAAACAGAATGGTTTGGTTGCTGGGAATGGAGGAGGGAAATTGGGGGCTCACATTTAAAAGGTACATACTCTGAGGGTTTGTTTATTTGTTTGTTTGTTTGTTCAAAACAGGCTCTCTCTGCATAGCCCTGGCTGTCCTGGAACTCACTCTGTAGACCAGGCTGGCCTCAAATTCACAGACATCTGCCTGCTGGGATTAAAGACGTGCACCACCACCGTCCAACCACACCCTGAGTTTTGTGAGGTGGAAAATCTGGAGGTGGGTGGGGATGATGGTGACTTAAATGTGCTTAATGTCATCCAATGTGTATTTAATAATAGTGGAATCAGTCAATTTCATGTTGTATCCGTTTAAACACAATTAAGAGCAGAAGCTTCAGAGAGGGCACTATAAAACCCTGTACCCATCCCTGATACAAGGGCTTAATTTTGAAAGTTTATTTTCAAACAGTGAAACCATTTGAGAAGGGCTTGTTTCTCTGAACACCAACAAAACCAGCCAAGGGAAAGCATAAATCAGGCTTGAGCCGACAGGGCCCATTCATATGTTCCCTATGCTCAATATTCCTCTTCTTCTACCTCCTCTTCTCTCCACTCAGGACAGGCCTGGGGACCAGACCTATGCCCCAGGGTCTGGGCTGATGTCCTTGGCAGGCCTCTGAAAGGCACTTCCTCTTGCCTCAAGGACAGGGTTACCCAACTGGCAGGTGGCATGAAAGGAGTTTTGTCTGAGATTTGTACTGTAAAATCCAGCTCCTGTGTGAAGACTTCCATGAATGAAGAGCTTTCACTTGAACGCGTTTGCATTTTGAAATGAAAGGTGGAAAGTTCTCACCCTATCACCCAATAAAAGTGCACTTAACAGTTTTGATCATTGCCCTTCCTACAGCTAATATATGTCAACCTGAAGTTGCTATAAAGGTTCATAAGTAGGAACCATCTTTAAAATAATAGGAATCATCCCTACAGGTACATGCTTCCTTTGCTACCCAAATGTTCTAGGTTATGGCCTTTTTTGGTGTCCTGCATCCTGAAAAGTTAAGTACTCTCAGGTCAGGATTTCAGATCAGTGCCTCCAATGGTAAGGATGAGGGAGGGATGTGTCCAGGTCTCAGATGATTCAGATGTGCTGTGGTGCTCAAGAGCCTCGGGCTTCTGTAGATACAGTGCCTTTCTCCACCCCTCTCTGTCTTAGGGAAAGAGACCCCAAATGGCATAGCAGACATCTGGTCTTGGAAAGTGCTGCCTTGTACTGGTACTAGGTTCAGATCTCTTACCAGGGGCATTGCCTCCCTCAGACACCTGTCTTATACCTTCCCATCCTTTAGTCTCTACCCCCTTTATCTCTAGGTAATTATGGGGAAATTGGGGCTGTAACTATGATGCAAAGTCTCCTTTAAGCAAACTCAATTTGCTGACTAGTTTTATGCCAATTTGACACAAGCTAGAGTTATCTGAAAAGAGGGAACCTCAACTGAGAAAATACCTCCACAATATCCAGTTGTAAAGCATTTCCTTAATTAGTGATTGACAGGGGAGGGCCCAGCCCGTTGTGGGTGCTGCCATCCCTGGGCTGGTGGTCTTGGTTCTATAAGGAAGCAGGCTGAACAAGGCATGATGGGCAAGCCAGAAATTAGCACTCGTCCACAGCCTCTGTATCAGCTGCCCCCTCCACATTCCAGCCCTGCTTGAGTTCCTGTGCTGACTTCCTTCAATGATGGACTACAATGTGGAAGTATAAGCGAAGCAAACCCTTTCCTCCCCAACTTGTTTTTGATCATGGTGTCTCATCATAGCAATAGAAACTCAGTAAAACATTTGCGTTGTGTCCACACATAGAAAATTGTTCTTCTGACTTCATCTTTTATTCAAACGGCATCTTCCAGACCAAGCTGGCATTGGCCACACCACCCCAGGTGAAGATCCCTTTGTCCTCTGGTTCCTGGGTTGCTTGTTCCAATCATTCCAGTCATCGATCGCATTCCCTAGCCCAAGACTATGAGACAGAGAGACCTGTAGGAAGATCTAGGGGTCAGCTCAAGGTTACGGATGGGGCGGGGGGGGGGCTGACTGCCACTGAGGCCTCGGCCACTTATGGAGAGTCTGGGGCTGAGATGTGATCAGAATGCCCTAAACCGAGGAAAGGGGCAGAACCTGGTATCCTCAGAGGTTAGCCAGACATTAATTAGTCATGAACCTCACCCCACGGTGTATTACCCTGGGCAAAGAAGTTCCCAATGCAGCAGTGGGTGAGCCGGCAGCAGCAGAGAGACAACCCAGCGGTGGGAGATGCCTCCTCCCTGCCTAGCACTTTGCTGTGCTTTCTCTGGGCATCTGTCACCGCCCATCTTTCCATCTACAGTACTGTGATATTGCTTGCATCTATCATTTA